GAAGACTTACCAGTAGTTGCCGCTGTGCTCTACGAACTAGACGAAGGCGTGTACGTGCTGGGCGCAACCTGGAAGCCGCAAAGGTGTCGTTCGAGATACTGAAACGCAAGATCGTGTCGACCCCACTGTTGCGACATCCAGACAGAACCAAGCCTTTCGTGATGATTCCGCATGCCAACCCGTGGGCGGCGTGTGCTGTTTTGGGCCAGGAGCATGAAGGACTCATACACCCAGTACGATTTACTGGCAGAGTGTTGAAGGAATCAGAGCTACGTTACGACATAGCTGAGAAGGAAGTGCTCGCAATCTTGCGGACTCTGGAAATTTTCAGACCTCTGATCCATGGATCAGAATTCCCAGTTGTGGTGTATACGCGTTATTCTGTGCTAAAGTGGTTACTAGAGTCTAACCTTGCAGATGGACGACATCTGAAGTGGGGGTTGGAACTATCAAGATGGACACTGGAAATCCATCGGACTCAGAAAGATGAGGATGGCCTTGCGGCCATCATTGGGTCTGGTATTACTCCCAGGGAACATCTAGATGAAGTTGCGGAGACCACGATTCCTGCCAAGGAGCATCTGAAAGTGATGCCACCAGTGAGTCTGGAAATGTTGGAAGCAGACTACCAAGGCTACGTTCTGAGTTTTGATGGCGCTGCGATAGTGTCTACTCGCCGAGGAAGTTATGGATGCATACTGTGGAAGCTGCCAGGGTGGCAGGTTGTGAAAGCTGAATGACACATCCTTGAAGGTGTGACAGTCAACGATGCTGAATACCATGGTGTGATTCTGGGACTGAAGCTCGTTATGAAGTATGATGTCAAGGAGCTTGTGGCAGTCGATGATTCCCGAATCGTCGTCCAACAGGTTCAGGGTCTGATTAATTGCAACCAGCCCAACTTGCTACGACGCTTAGCTGAGTACGAGGATCCCAGGAAGAATTTTGTGTCGGTTAAACAGATTCACGTTAAACGTGAGTTTAACCAAGCGACCGACTACCTGACCTCTAAGACCCTCGTGCTTAGAGAATCCTGGGAGCTCGATGACCCTGATGAGATAGTGCATCTACGCCTCGTATCCAGAATTCCTGAAAAGATCATGAAGCCTTCGGAAATCCTAGGCACCCCTGTGACCGATGTGGTTCGCTCGGACCAAGTCGAACTTGGAGCGGATAGCTCTGATGCTGGAATACCGGAGTCTCTAGCTACCGCGGCTGAGGCATTGATGGTGATGACGAGGTCACGAGTGGAAGCGGATGCAAGTACTCGGACTCCTGTAGACCAGTCTGGATACCAAGATGAACGTTGGAGGAGAATCAACGTTCACCAAGACAAAGACTTGTGGATCCAGCAAATGAAGAAGGTCCTAAAAGGAGAGATGTCAGATCTTCCACGGAACCAGGTAAAGAAGATTGCGATGATCTCTGATCAGTTTGTGTTAGATTCGCGAGAAGTCCTCTACAGGCTGAGTACACCCACTCCTGAGAGACCTCGCAACAAATAGTCAGAACTCAGGTTGGTAGTCCCAGAGACGTTACGTGCCGACATGTTACACTACTCGCAAGAAGGCTTTCAAGGCGGCCACCAAGGAATCAACAGGACGTTTGAGCGATTAC